AAAAATCACACATGTGAAAAAGTCCTGAAATATCCCCCAATAACACGCCAGGGTTGGAAATGTTAATGTCTACGTGTTTTAATGAGAGCCCTATAAAGGGTTAAACCATTGTTTTATGTCTGACTAAAGTAAACTAATAGAAACTTCTATTTTGTAAACGACCGTATCCGTCTGTTTAGTGTGTGGCAGTGTACATAATCTGGAATCCTCTTATTACATCAACATAATAATATTTATCCACGATCCACAACTTACAAACATGGTTGTGGATGTGGAATCCTCTATGCATGGTAGGACGTAACAGAAGGGCTAAAGACATGCAATCCATATACAGTCAATGAAATTCAAAGTCATATTTCAACACTCCTGATCCTCTGCTTTCCCATTTTTATATTCAGTACAAGCACACAAACATACATAGTTGCTCAGTTCAGTAGTTCAGAACAGAATCCCCACTAACAAAATGAGAGCTCTGATTTCAGCCCACACTCTTGCTTTTACATTCTGTGGGCCGTGACAACTAAAGCGTCTCTATCAGCCCCTTCTCCCAGACACGCTAATCACACGCAGAGCTGATGTTTCACATTTCGAACATTCAATAATTTCCCCATTTTCAACATCCCCGTTTGATGGGAACATACCTCTCCCTCAGTGAGAAGTAAAGGGCTGTCAGCACGGCAGCCATTGTGAGAATTTAATTGGCTTTCTTTTACTTTCAGAAGCAGCAGGGAGGATGCACCGGAGTACCTGAGGTGTGTTTTATTTCATTGTATTTTTTTCTGACTAATAATCAGAGGCTTAAAAGCACCAAGAAGGTGAATTTGTAATAAAGGGATTGTGTTTAAGAATCTCCGCTAATCTTTTTGGATGACAAGAAGGGGTGTTATCAGATGGAACTAGTTTCAGATAAACACTATCTATGCCACTGCTGGATATCTGCAAGCAGGGCAGCACAACTTTCATATCTAACACTTATTTCTTTGATTTGGGGTGCAGAGGAGACAAGGAATGAAAATGAGGGAAGAAAGGAGTAAGTTGAAAACAGAGACTGGAGGTTGGGAAGATTTCAGAGCACATATCTCAGGCATTATAATTGATGCAGCACCCGTACATCAGCAGCCCTATCTGCAGGGGAAGGTGCTGCTGGAATAAGTATGTAATAGTTCACAGTGGTTTAAAAAAATAGACTTTATTGATCTATTGCATTTTGACACCATTTAGATTCCAATAAATGATCTTAACGACTTAATGGTGCATCCTACCAGGTATCATTGAGGCATTCGTGCACAGTTTATCGGCTACATTACCGCAGGAGGTGTAGTTACCTTTTGTTCAAGGCTCCCTGTTTCATTGCTGGGGTTTCGTTTATGGCTGGGCTTCTGGAAACCAGGGGTTGTGGACCAGCGAGCTGGATTTTTTCTGGACGGTTCTTCTGGAGCAACCGGGGCCTCGCCTGGAGGACAGCCAACCAGTGCGGGATCACTACTGCGACGGACATTGAGAGACATGTCTGTGGAGGGGATTACAAAAGAAAAGGAAAAGGAATTATAGCAAAATCAAACCACTTGCCGCTTTATCGATTTATTAAGCGGCTCGCTTTTCACCTTGGTCGTCAAAAAGTTGCTCATGTTTGGGGGGTGCTGCTACATCCCCTGCTAGACCTCCTTAACAGCACTCCATGAAATGTCAGCTGAGACATGGGAAGTGGTGATTACAAGTACTCGTGTTTTTATAAAAGGTCTGTTAAGCCCAAAACAACACTGCGCAACTCGATGGAAAGTTTAGCTTGGCTTAATTCCATCTGTGCTGAAATACATTACTGTAGATATATTATACACAGAGTTTTGGCTGGGGAAATTACCCAGACAGCGATAAAAAAATATATATATATAAAAGTACATGTGAGAAAAAAAATCAGATGTGATTATGTAACCCCTTGCTTGGTCGAACCACTCTAAAAATAACAAGTACAATAATAATTGCAGGAAACTTGCTCATATATCATGATCTGACTATTGCGATAAAGGTCATTCTTGCACACTGTGCTACCCAACTCAAGTTGATTCTAGGAAGTTTCCAGGGGACTGAAATTGAGTCTCAGAGCCAACATTTATTCTTTCCATCAAACGTCTAACAGAAAACTACACAGGAAACACTGGCCCATGTTTCAGCTGCCACATTAACCGATCTGTCATGAAAACTCGGTATAAAGTTCCCACATTTGATTAGAGCTGCCAAAACAAGTAGAGGGGATGAAGTTGCTCCATATTTCACACTCCGGTTAAAACATTCAGCGAGAAATCCCACCGATGTCTGCTACAAAGTCAAGACGGTGAGTATATCCGTTAGCTGCGGTGTAAATCATCTGGATTTTCCCAAAAGGCCATATGGATTTGTTTATGACGTCCTAGCAGCCTGTGTGTTACACCCATAATTATGCAAATAGTTGGGTAACCACCTGTCATCCATAGACAGATCATTGCACTGAGCATATGCCAGTGTTAAGCTTCCATCTGATACAACCGAGAGACGTCTTAGCGGTGGGAGCGACGCATTCTAATCATGGATTACGCTGTGCGCCAACTCGTCTGTATTTAACACCGTGACAAGACTAAGGAGATTCAAGAACAACTGTAAGTGTTTCTTGTGACCACCTGTGTCGAGGCAGAAAGAGTGACTGAATCCTGCAAATAACAGTGAAATAAGCATGTGTTTCTGCACCTACTACACTAACTAAACACCTCTGCTTTATTAAGGCATCCCAGTTCATCTTCATTCACTCACATCCTTTGTACTATCTCACTTACTTGAACTTGTGCTAATATCCTGATAAAGCATCCCCTCTACTTAGTGTTTACTTGGCGCCAACTGCTTTCATTTAATCCTCCCCTACCTGATAAATCCGTGGTCTCAATATTATAATCAGGCCTCAGAGGCCCCGAACTGTTGTTCTCTCTCTAAGTCTTTTCTAGAGATGATGTGGTCTAAGAAGTGGAGTTTAGTCTGGTGTTATTCTCGTCGTGAGTGCTGCCATTAGGTGCTAAAAAGACAAGCTTGTCCTTTTTAGTGTTCTGGGGATTACATCAATATTAGATCTCTTAGCACCTCATAATTTATGACCATTTCATAAAGTCAAATTTGTCATCGCTGTTAGTAACCACTGACATTGAAGACAAAAGCACACATCACATCTTTAGCTGTCGCCCAATAAAGTATCGATCCAAAGATCGGTCTTGTTTTTCCCACACTTGGTGAAATGAATGATTATGACATAGACACAGATTCCCAATCCATAGTCAGGACTTACTGACATTGCAGCAGTGTATTGTCAATTCAGGGTAATGTAAACGTAAAGTGCTGCAAAAAAATGACATTTTTGTGTTACAAAAAACTCTTATTGTTGCCAAGTTTTCGGTGAGATTTCATTACAAAAGTTCTCTCCCTCCTCCTTTGTCTCTGAGTGCGGTAACTCCGGTAGAAAGGCTTCGTATGCAAATAAATTTATGATGACATCCTGGAAACTTCCAGGAACTTTCTCAGCAGCAAGAAAGTAGAGATGATGACAGGGTTTTCAAACTGCATTTTTTTTTTTTTTGGGTGAGTAACTCAACTTTATAAAGCGCCATTTCTCATGAGGAAATCATCGGTGCAACTCGAGTTCTTCTGCAGAAACAGGTAACTTATAAAACCTACTTTCTCACTCACTGCTAAACAACAACTCTGATACAAAAACCTCCACCCCAAATAAGAGGGAAAAAATCCCTCACCGGCAGCTTATACTATTATTCCTTTGTTTCGAATGCGTTTCATTTTTTTTTGCCCACTGCCCGAGGCTACGTCAGAGCAGCCTGGAAATCACATCTAGCAGCCAGCCAGTCATTGTGTGTTCGCTTTTAAATTAGGTTGAAGACCTACTAATGGCATTTAATAAACTTTTGCCCCTTTCAGTAATGACTGGTTCATGTCCAGTTCAAGCTCTAATGATATTCACTTGAGACAGCAGGGGTAATTAACATCCAGTATTATTCCACACGATGACTTTGAGATAGCACGCAAGCTGCGCACAACAGAACTATAAAAAAGAAAGAAAGACAGAGAAAGGGCACAGGAATGGGTTAGAAAGCATATTAAAATTCTCAAAGTATTCATATTAAATATTTGTATTTCTTTTAAAGGGAACCTTTTCTATGTTTTCATAGATTTGTGTGTAGTTGGGGCTTGCACACGACACTTGGTATGGATTAAAAGCCTTGTTATATTTCCCATAATACCTCAAGGCTCAGTTGATAGATGGATGTTTGCAGGCCCTTAGAAACCATGACAACTTCAACATTCAAGCATTAAGGGTATAAAAATCACAACACATGGCTCTCTTTTGGATCGATTCTTACACACTAAGTAATAATACTCTGGCTCTTTTACAGTTTCAGTCGAATTCAGTCGAACTTTAGTTTCAGTTTAGCGACAGCTTGCTAAAGTGTTGATCCACCGTGGGTCGAAATCCTTACGGATCAGCTTCTAACAAATAAAGGAGTTTGTGCTCGCTTGTGTTACGAAGGTCACAATATGAAGATTCTCTCCGGTCCCGGCTCTCCCTGACCAATTTCCCTCTACTTAATTTGTGATGGGATTATCCCAGCAGTCCGAAGGGTTTGGTTATCCCACGTTTAATAACTAGCACTGCCACTTCAGACCGAGCCAGCAATCGATCCACACCGAAGCGGGAACAAAACCACTCGGGAGGGGGGGGGGAGGGTGAGCCTGGCTAATAAAACGAGGCCCTAATCCAGCCCCTGCAGTGAGGGATTATGGTCAGGGCACAGGGTCATAGTGATGTACACACACCACAGTTTACCATAGAGACGT